TTTTGTGCCTTACTAAATTTAACAGAGTTTTTTGTGTGTGTTTTTTCTTTACTGTCTCTTTTGTCTGATTTAGGTTTCCTTCCTCTTGCTTTTATTTTGCAAGTTTTACCTTGCACAGTTGGGGGCACTCCTTGAACTTGGAAGTTTTCACAGCCCCCCTTCTCTAGTGCCTGTTTTTCTTTACAATTATTTATCTAATTAGAGCAGCATAGGAGGTGTTTAAAACACCATTTTTATTATTTTTGTGTGTGATAGAGCTACTAAAACATAACTGAATGTAAAGAACTAGAATTTATCTCTAAATGAATAACTCTGAGAAGCATGGAACTATGGTAATGGAGGAGGGGTAATTGGGGTATGTTAATTAGGGTCCTGATGCTGCCTAATTTCTTCATGGTTTTAGGGAGAACTCAGTCTAGGTTCTGCCTTTAACCAAATTGTGGTTACGCAAATTCCATTACTTTGTCTTGCAAGTCCTCCCAATAATTATAACAAAAGATACTACAGCTATAGTCAGACTTTAGTGGACATAAGAAGTGGGAACATTTTCCTCAGGTTTTACCTTTTAATTTGTTGAAGTCTTTTTTTTAAAGACCTTCTCAAATTGAGTTAACTACACTCATACAACATACCTCTAGTATAGCATTTAACACTGTTTCATCATTGTTGGTTCCTTGTCTGTCCCTACTGGCCTTCAGGACATCTCTGTTCTTCCAGCGTCTGGCACATAGTAGGTGTGTATAGTACATATTACAATCAGAGCTTATCTTCCCTCTTTGGAATACTGCAGATTCTAGACTTAGACAAATGCCATAGTGGCAGCTCTGCACTCCTGTATTCTGAGAGTTTTCACGTGTTTTTAACTATAGAGTACTTATTTTCACAAAAAGCAATTTTTAAATTATTAAAGGGACAAAAAGAGTAATAAATAAGGCACCCTAGCTATACATCATGTATTTTTCTCAGTATGTGACTTGTGTAATTTCCTTATCTGTAATTATGTCTACCTAATACATACAGTAGCCTTCTAATGGTCTTTCCTTTTTCTAATAACTCTTATGCTAGCACCATGTCCTTTGAATAAAATACTATTTCTCTCCCTACCCCTTTCATTTCTATGTTTAAGAATCCAGTTGCTTTGGGGCGGGGCTGGGGGGTGGGAAGGGCTTGGCTTTCAAGTTCTATATGACCTGGTCCTGCCTTAGTCCTTGACCTTTAAATCTCACTCTTAACCTGTTTATATGAGTCATTCTCATGACAGTCACAAAAACACAGACCTTCTCCTTTGCTCTTTGTAATTTGCCCTACCTGGAATGTATTTATTCAAATTTTTAAACCCTAGTCTAAGCCCAGCCTTCTCAATAAAGATCACTCACAGTGAGGAAATTGAATAGTAAACAAAAATATCTCCTAAGAGGAAGGTTTTAGGTAAAAAATGCCTGAATAATTAACTTAATGAAAAATTTAGTGGGAATAATACTGTTTCATACTAAAGCATACTAAATGGATGGTTTCATTATGTGTAGTGGAGCTTACTGTATATATTACAAGTTTTAACCTCTGATAATTGAAGCATGGTTGTTCACTGTTATCTATGAAATGAAACCAACCAGCATATAAGCAATGGCTGAATTACTCCATTACTATTTTTACGTCATGAGTAAAATAAATGTAAATTAGCTTAAAATGTTAGTTAAGTCAGTATTACTATAATTTATTATTTTTATGTAATAAACATGATTTTGAAATAATATTTAGGCTAACTAAACCTCATTAGCTTAACTCTCCCTCATTTTTTTTCCAGTTAGATGTTTGCCCGATATCTCTCAGTCTATCTTCAGAACAGAATCCACACTCTCCCTCTGGGAACCTGCTCCAAAGGACAGGATGGCTGGAGGGGAGGGGAGAGTGGGAAGAGAGGTCAGAGAGGTCCTTGAAGCACAGGATTATGCTAGGACTTGTCAATCTGCTAGCAATGTTGGATTTTAGTCTGTATTCAATATGTCTGTATCTTGGGGAAAGTAAACCTTTTCATTTGTGTTAAGATACACTTATTCTTCCAGGACATAGATATAATGGAACAGGGAATTTAAGATTAACTTTAATATGCTCTCCCAAAGTACCTAATCGAATATAGTCACAGAATAATAGTATCTGTTCTAGTATAATTATAGTTTTCTTAGGACTGTTTCCACATCATTAAGGAAAAAATCATATTAGAAGCTATCTGTTTAAATCCAGATTATTTTAAAAACAAAGTTTATAAGTTCTATTTTCTTTTCTATAATTTTTCTCCCCTTTGGAGGGACAGTTGACGGACTATTGTATTATTTTATTTGTATTTTATGCTGTCATCATTTTCAGTAAGGGCATTGTGTTGATAAAATTCAGTTTTAGAATTGTGATTTAATTGGAGATGGGCATTGATTATATAACAAAGAATGAATTTCCTTACTAGATTTGATGACTTTAGATAGTGCAGAGCCTACAAACAAAAACTTTCTGGGGGCTTCTCATTTGGTGTGTATAATAAGCAGAAATGGTGCCATAGGGGAGGTAAGAGAATAAGGATTAACATCAGCTTCAAGAGACTGGAAAGTGCTGTTTTCGAGTGTAGATCCTTAAAATGTTGTAAAATCTAAATTTTTATTCGAACAGTCTCTGAATAAGTGTCTTGTTAATTTTTATAAGATAACCCAGGGGTATTAGGAATTCAAGAAAGGCAAAAACTGGCAAGTTACATAAATGGTATAAAAGTTGAATAGTTGCTTGAAAATTTACATTTATTTTATGACTCTCTGTCATTGTTTCCTATCCATATTTTACTCTTCTTGAGTCTATAGTAGTCTAGATAAAAATAAAACTATTAATGAAAATAGTTAGATTTTTAAAATCCAAATAATTATTGGGTTTGAATAATAATAAACTCACAAAACACAGCAGACTTTGATGTGGAATCTATAATTCTATTTGGTTTTGTGATAACTTAAAATACTCATACTCATTTTGAACTATTTTGTGTGCTGTAAAATTATATTCCTATTGTTTCTTCTTTTTTTTTTTCCCAGTTCCTTGGGGGCAATTAGAGTGTGAACTCAGAAAGAAAGTGCATTATCATTATCTCAGAGCAGGTTTTCTCTAGAATATTTTAGCTTCTGAGTTATTCCAGTGTGTTTAGTTTTGAAAATTAGGGAGGAAGAGGAAGTTGACTCTTATCTTCCCAGTTCTGTTGCTTGTTGGCCCTCCTTATGAATACTGGGTATTACTACAAACAAGCAACTATTACTTGAGTAAGTCACCTGATCAGATGAGGTTTTTCTTTGTACTAACATTTTATGTTTTTCATGGGTAGATAACTTAATGAAGAATTATATCAATTGAGATTGATCTGTGGATAATTTAGTAATGAGTAAAAATCTTAGAAATAGTATTAACACAAGTAAATTATAAAAACCAAATCAAGAGCCACATTTATGAGTTGGAAAATTAGTGGATGTCTTTTCTTTTGTCCAGGTAGAATGCCCAAATTAATACATGCTTAGAGCGTGAAGTTAAGAAATCAAAATGATCAGTTTCTACTAGAGATATTGATAAGCTGTTATCCTTTGTTATTAAGCTTAAGAAAATTGTTTCCCTTCAGTGATTAAATGAGATATGGTCTGATTTTTAACATAGTGAACTAAGTTTAGTTTGGTTTTGCAACATTATTTGACCCTTTCTGAAAATTTTTATATAATAAAATAGGTTTAAATTTGAACTTCATGACATCTCATCAGCTAATTAGATTCTTTGCTTATCTCATAACCTTATTTAAGTATCACAGAGGTAATTTTGTTGATTGCTGCTTTGGAGGTGCAAGATGTGTGCAAATTCTTATTTGAGATTAAGGATATCTTTAAGTTCTGAGGAATTTTTAATTCAATTGACAGGTTGTATTACAAATGTTGCCTAGATTCACTAGAACAAAGTCTGTGTTTCAGAAATGTGAGTCAAGAGTATGGAATGTACAATGATGATATTCATTATGTCCCTGGGAAATATAATAGGTATTTTAGTTGAAGGAAAAGGATTTGTGGTCAGATAAATTTAGAATATGTAGGACACGTTGTTTTAAGCAAAGCTAAGCTTTACTGAAGATTTCTCAGAGCTATTAATATTGAAATATTTTTTAAAATTAATCTTATTTTAAGGACTGTAAGTATTTTAAGGACTGGTCAGTCATTGATCTTATTTTGTTTTGTGTAATCTTTTCCTCTCTTCACAAAATAATATGCAAGTTCCATGTCAGATATCACATTATTTTATTAATGGGAAGAAGGAAATGTCTTTTTATTCAAGGGACTTATAATTAAGTCACACATATGGGAAATTTCATATATGATTTATTAAAATTAAATGAATTTAATTTTGTTTGTTTTTTATTTCAATTTTTGTTCCTTGGATTTTGTAGGAACTAATGAGGAAATAAGGTAAAAGATAGATGAGGTAGAAAATGAGAATAGGATAAATTCAACAGACTAAATTAGACTTAAAATTTTGTTTTGTCTTTTCTATGAAATGCTTATGGGACTAAGCTTTTGCAAGATACATGCATATTTATATCTAAACAGATTTTTACAAAATAAATAAGGTAAGTTGCTGCATTACAGTCTTCTGGAATTTTTCACAGTGGTGTTTGGGGTATTTTAAAATCTATTAGTGAAGAGAACTGATCTGCTGTCATATCCTCTAATTAATGGGAGTCATCTGCAATTTTTAAATTATTGCTACTTGTGATTCTGGTCATAATTTGATACTGCTCATTCTTTCACATTTTTCTAAAATTTGAGACTTAATGACTCCTTTCTACTCACTTGTCAACCCTGTTTCCAGTCATCACTTTTAATTTACTTACTAGTTTTGAAGGTTTGACTCCAGAGAGTTGTAGTATATATCAGAAAATATACTGCATACTTTTTCAAGTTTATCCTGTAACTATTCTACACAAATGTCTGTTTCAGATGGAGCAGCTATCAGATGAAGAAATTGACCATGGTGCTGAAGAAGACAGTGACAAAGAAGATCAAGATCTGGACAAAATGTTTGGAGCCTGGCTGGGGGAGCTAGACAAACTCACTCAGGTTAGAAATAGTGCTTGGAAAACTGGTTGAGGATTTTAAGTCATCACCGTGTGCTAAAAGTTTACAGTATAATCATAAGGATATGGTGGATAAAGGTTACATTTTAAAATATTGCTATAAAAATAAAACGTTCAAAACATTAACAAGTAAATGAATGCTATAGGACAAGATATTATCTTCTCTGGTTATTTGAAGGAATTTTAAAATATACTTGTGACTGACTGAGGTTCTGTTTATCTACAGGGATTACTTACAATCTCTTTCATAAATTGAGATTGCTGGCTAGAAAGCTTTAAAGCCTAAAATTTTAAAGTCTAAATTTTAGCACATCCTATTTCATAATTTAGTGAATTTTTGAATACAGCATAAATAAATAATATCTTCACACATGAAAATATTTTCTATTACATGATTGCAGAGTATTGACAAAATTTCATTCCCAGCTGCATTTTAAAACAGTGGAAAAGCCTTTTTATTTATTTTCTTGTATCATGAGTTTTTTGTTTTATTTATTCTTTTTATTTAAAGAATGACTTTATCTTCTAAACCAGGTCACTTTTATAATAAAAGGGAATTCTGTTACTACCCCAGTTGATATATTATATTCAATATATAAAGATGGTTATGTTTATTAAAACAACTTTAACTTTATATCATTGAGAACATTAGAACAAAAATTATTTTCATTCATTCTTAATATCTCTGGGAAGAACTTTTATGTAAAATTGCTTAAATTTGAGATTCCTTCACCAGTAAAAAAGTAGGTAGTAAGCTGGAAACTTAAAGTACTGGTTTGTTCCTTTCTGTAACAGTCTGTAATTGAAACTGATAAACTCTTCACATAATTCTAAGAGTAATTCTAAGATGGATCGTTTTGAAAAGCAGACATGTTTGTGACCATATTCTGTTAATGTTCAATTTTCAGGAGAATGCTTTCACTTCTACTAGGATCTCAAAAGAATCATTCCCTTCATCTCCAATCAGGAGAAATAAAATACTTGTTGAGAGAAAGGTCTTTCTTATATCTGTAATTGTGAAACCATTTCAGTTTAATTCTTAAATTTTTTAAAAAGGTGATTTTGGTGTAGAGATGATGACTAGGCTATGCATTTCTATGCGGAGGAGAAAAAGGAATGAGGAAGCAAAATAAAGGAAATCGAAAATGATAATATGTGCCAGCTGACATGTGTGGGGTTGCTTTGACTGTATGGTTTTATTACTCATATTTGGGAAGGGAGCCAAAAAAAGAAAAGACAGGTAGATATCACTCCAGCTGCTCCAGGTGGAGCAGTACTCCATGCTACTCCATTCCGGGTGGGCTTCTACTGGTTCAGTGCCTTTTATTCTTCTTTATATTTTAAATCCCCAGATTTCTAAATGTAAAGAGCCACTCACCACAAAAGTTGGCTCCTAACTAGTGCTGTGACTGTTCTTTTTATTATACAAATCTGTCATTAGAGAGAAAGATTTTAAAAAACTCTTGTGTAATGTGGCTCACTGCTAACAGTTGCGTTTTAACACTTCAGAAAGTTTCAGAAACTTTTACTAAGTTAGTGGCTAAACTTCAAGTTTTTTAATTTATTATTTTAGTTCACTACAATGTGTCATCTGTGTGCCTATATCACACATACAATGTTAATGGGATTTTCAATTTTATATTAAGTCAGGTTTAAGTTTTAAGTGGTTGGTGACTCTTCTGAAATCATTTGTAAAATTTCTGTGTATTTGCGTTATTCTGGAAGGTACATATAGCATATAGCTTTTTTCAAATTCTCAATGACCTCCCACCCCCCCACCCCACCCCCCCCGACCCCTCCGCAGAAAAAAGTTAAAAACCACCCTTCTAGATTACGAATTTCTTGGCATCAAGGAGTATTTCTTTCTCTTTCCCTTGTTGTCCCAGTAGCATGGACACAGCAGACAATTATATCAAATGTCTGTTTATTTAAACTGGTAAATAGATTGATTTTTAATATGTCCTCAATTATATTCAAGTTATTTTACAGTAATCATTACCTACCTATTAGTCTTCATTTCCACCGAGAGAAGGAGGCTTAGGGATTAAATTGCAGCAGAAGACTTATGTTTGAGATAAAAGGACAATTTCCTGGCTGTTTTGTGCAATTTTGAAATAAGGCACTGAATGGTCATAAATGTCCTTCATATGATAGTTTTAAAACCAGTATGGACACTTTCTGAATGGATTTGTTTTATCTTGAGATAAATGAATAAAGAAGATAGCATTCTACTTTAATTCCACGATTCTACTCTCCAGCATTCTCCTTTATTTGAAATCTATTTGATAATTATAGGTAGAGACTAAAGTTTTAAAAGACTAATCCCAATATTTGTAAATTTATTTAAATAAATGCTGTATATCTACCTACCTTTACCCTGAATTTCTCTGTTGTAAACATCTTATTTTCCTTATTATAGAAAGGTTAGAAAAAGTATCATTTTAAAAGGTGGTGAGATAACTTACAAGATACCCAAACATGAAGTATAGTATAATTCTAGACTTTGCACAAGCAGTGTAGCTGGGTTACAGTGTGCCCTCATAGAATTTGAAAAGAACAACGATATTTAATTATTTTTTAAAGTTGTAGCTACTCTGTTAAGATCTTGAGTGACACTAATTTTGAGTCTAGAAATGCACTGTATCTTCAGGGTCCCTCATGCCAGGAAGGACGCTATGCTGGATCTAAAACAAATTACGCCGAAACCGGTTTGGCTCAGTGGATAGAGCATCGGCCTGCGGACTGAAGGGTCCCGGGTTCGATTCCGGTCAAGGGCATGTGCCTGAGTTGCGGGCACATCCCCAGTGGGAGATGTGCAGGAGGCAGCTGATCGATGTTTCTCTCTCATCGATGTTTCTAGCTCTCTGTCTCTCTCCCTTCCTCTCTGTAAAAAATCAATAAAATATATTTAAAAAAATAAAAATAAAAATAAAACAAATTACTTTGAAGAAAGAGATAACAGAATTATCTGCATCATTTCTTCCTATTTATCTTACCATGCCCATATTCATATAACTATTTTATAGTGAATTTATGTAATATGAACTTAGTCTCTATACTTGGTGTATTTGGAAAAAGATATATGACATTCTCAAGTGCCTTCAGTAAGATTATTATCTAAAAATTTAAAAAAGTATAACCAAAATAATATGAAAACAAAAACTTTGGTTTTATTACCTATTCTATAACAATTCACTTAATCATAAAACAAACTGTATCTTTTTTTGTTGTGGTGGTTAATCATCTCCCGAGAATATTTTTCCATTGATTTTTAGGGAGAGTGGAAGAGAGAGGGAAACATCAATGTGGACAGAAACACATCGATTGGTCGCCTCCTGCATGAGCCCCACCAGGGCCTGGGCCTGGGAGTAGCCTGCAACCAAGATATGTTCCCTTGCCTGGAATCAAACCCAGGACCCTTTGGTCCACAGGCTAATGCTCTATCCACTGAGCCAAACAGGCCAGGGCAAACTGTATCTTTTTATATAATTGAAGTGTGGATATAATATGACTTATCAAACTTTCTTATTTCTTTTTAAAGAGTTTGGATTCTGACAAGCCCATGGAACCAGTAAAACGATCTCCTCTTCGCCAAGAAACAAACATGGCCAATTTTTCTTACCGCTTCTCCATATACAACTTGAATGGTAAGATGTAATTGGAAATAAAATGTAAAATAGTGTACTAAATTATATAATGTAAGAGCAGTGCAGCTACAATACCAAGTAGCTCAACATAGAAATGATATGCATAACTTGACTGAGTTCTTATATTTCTTGATTTGTTTATTACTATTTCAAATGATCACAGAAAAAAACAAACTGGAACATAACTAAAATAGTTTTCTAGTTGAGTTATTAATAATTGCAAAGTATATACTCAGGTGGAACCTAAAGTCCAGTGAAGTTAGTTGTTAGTAATTTTAAAATCAGCCCTCTGGCCTTTCTTTAATGCCCTCTACCGAGTCAACTTTATAGTGTTTGAAATTGATATTTCAATCTGTAATTTTTTAGGCCTTAGATTTCTCTTTATGTCCTCAACTTTTTAGGTAACATCTCTACCAGGGCACTGATAATATTGACAACTTAGATCCTCTGATAAAAAGTTGCATTATGGCCCTGACCGGTTTGGCTCAGTGGATAGAGCGTCAGCCTGTGGACTCAAGGGTCCCAGGTTCGATTCCAGTCAAGGACATGTACCTTGGTTGCGGGCACATCCCCAGTGGGGAGTGTGCAGGAGGCAGCTGATCGATGTTTCTCTCTCATCGATGTTTCTAACTCTCTATCCCTCTCCCTTCCTCTGTAAAAAATCAATAAAATATATTAAAAAAAACACAACAAAACAAAACAAAAGTTTCATTATGGATGAGGTTAAAACTAGGAACGGTGTATGATTTTTATATTATTTTTACTTTCAACTTATAGTTGTGTTCTCTGATGGCTAAAAATCTTAAAAGATGGACTGTTTGCTTCTAAAAATTTCTCTTAAAAACTTGTTAGAAATACTATATTTGAGAGGGTTTAGGACCAATAGAATGAATTTTTTTTGCTGCTTTCCCTGCATTCATTAACTGATTTATAATAGAATGTATACATTCTGATTCAGTTGTTCTGGAAACATCATGTATATTGTTCATTGCAGAAGCTCTGAGTCAGGGAGAAACTGTGGATCTGGATGCCCTGATGGCCGATCTTTGCTCAATAGAGCGGGAGCTCAGCAGTATCGGTGCAGGCAATAGTAAGCGTCAAATCACAGAAACAAAAGCCTCTCAGAAATTACCTCCTAGCCGACATACAACAAAACATGGCACCTTGAAAGGATTGTCTTCTTCATCTAATAGGATTACTAAACCATCACATGCCAACTACTCCCTGGATGATATTACTGCACAGTTAGACCAGGCCTCTTTGAGCATGGATGAGGCTGCTCAGCAATCTGTACTAGAGGATGCTAAGCCCTTAGTAACTAATCAGCACAGAAGAACGGCATCAGCAGGCACGGTGAGTGATGCTGAAGTGCGCTCTATGAGTAACTCCTCTCGCTCCAGCATCACTTCTGCAGCTTCCAGCATGGACTCTTTGGATATTGATAAAGTAACGCGCCCTCAAGAACTGGAGTTGACACATCAGGGGCAGCCAATTACTGAGGTAGGTAGATGAAATTTTTTTTTTTTTTTTGCTATTTTAGTACTAAAATAGAAAACTAGTTTTTAAATATAGTTTTAAATAACTTTCTTATTTTCTCTACATTTAAAATTTATCAAGGATACCTCTGAGCTAAGTTTTAAAATCATTGCAAAAGGAGTATATTACCAACTATGGCAATGTCACAAAGAAGAATAAGAGGATATTTAGTTTCTTCATTTTTATTCTTGTGACTATTTTGAAGTGTTTGAATTGATGTTACTTGTTTCACATTAATTAAAAAAAACTTGAAATATACCCAGCCAGCATGGTTCAGTGGTTGAGCTATGAACCAGGAGGTCATGGTTTGATTCCAGATCAGGGTACATGCCCAGGTTGCGGGCTCCCTCCCCAGTGTGGGGCATGCAGGAGGCAGCCGATCAATGATTCTCTCTTATCATTGATATTTCTATCTCTCTCTCCCTCCCCCTTCATCTCTGAAATCAATAAAAATATATTTTAAAGGAAAAAAACCCACAAAATCTCAAAATGTGGTTTTTTTGACATTTGCAAAGTTAGTATGGCTCGTAAGCTGATAATAATTGCTTAATATGTATTTATTATAAATTAACAACTTAAATTTCTTAAGACTCATATTCCCATTGTAGTCCTCCAAGATTCTAGTTTTTAGGGTTCACTGAACTTTATTATGAAAGAGTCGGTGTGGTATAGTGCAAAGAGCCACTGGGCTTGGAATCAGAAAACTCAGTTCCAAGTGTTTGCCACTCACTATCCATAGAACCTAAATGAGTTTATCCAACATCTGTGAACATCAATTTCTCAAAGTAAGAGGGAGCTAATAGTACATGGTCTGTCTTCTTGTTCAGTGGTTCAGAGTCAAAGGGATATAATATACATGAACAGATTTTTAAAGATGAAGTTTTTCTTAATGAAGGATGAGGATAAAGAGTAGATTTGTGATAAAAATAAGTTTGGAAAAAACAGTTTAGTTTTACTGAAGGTGAATTCTTGTGGGGTTTTTTTTTTTTTTCATCAAGAAGGCAATTTTGTTATAGGGTAGCAAAAATAAAACCAGCCTTCCATTCACTTTGTATTTACAATGTCCTCTAAAAAAGGTAAAATAATCTATTCATGAATAATCAAAAGTAAACCTTATAAAACATTGTTTAAGGAATTGCACAGAAATGTAAAATTTACACCTATTGACAGTATTGATTTTCCCCCCATTGATTTAATTTATTAGATTACTTTTCATCACTCGGCAACTCCATTTACCTAGCTTTGTTCTAGGTAATGTGGAGCACAAAGGAGGTTTGGAGATAAACGAGTTTTATTGTTTCTAAGGAAATATGTCACTTTATCATGGTGGTTTGGAGATAAATGAGTTTTATTGCTTCTAAGGAAATATATCAGTTTAAAGAATAAACATTTCTTTAAAATGAAACTTAAAGTGATAGATATTCTGTAGAGAACTTTAAAACTGATTTCTACCTTATGATACCCGGGGATTACATTTAGCACCAGCTATTTATTAATATGTGTCATTTATGTATTTTAGATTTACCTATTGGGAAATGACCAATATTTTACTGGGGATGTGCTTTCTTGGTTTTCCTGTGTTTTATATATTGATATTCCTTCTTTCCAATCAGATTATTTTTAATTGAGTCAAGATGCATGGAAACAGGTTAATCATTCAGGGTGTGTGTGTGTGTGTATGTATGTGTGTCCATCTATAACATACCCTCATTATAAAAGTTCAAACAATAAAAGAGCAAATGAAGTGAAAAGTCCTCTCCCAGCAAACACTTCACATGGTATCCAGTGGTATCCATGAGCAAGGAAACCAACGTTCAGTGGTTTTATGTTTAACGTATGGCTTTAATACAAGGTTTGGTGAGTAAATGAAGAATCATACGAGAAAGCGAGTTAAGGTCTTCTCTATTCAGCCTGTTCTTTTTGCCTTGCCCAGATGGGTAGAAAAGTAATTTGCTTCTTTTGGAATTGCACAGAAATGTAAAAAAGTATACTTTTTCTGGATGTCGTTTGTTCTGATTCAAGTCAAGGAAACTAAGGGAGTCTATTACTAGGTCCCAAATCCTTATTCCCACACTCATACACAATTTTTAAAAAAACATTAGTTTGGTAAGCGTGGAGCTCAAAGAGTCAAATGGTTCATTAAGAGTTGTAAAAAACACTGCTGTGTATACACACACACACTTTCTGCCCTTCAACTCCAACCTTTCTCCCAGTTGATTAAATTTCATACTTATTTCAAACAAAATTAGTATTCTAATTTCATCTTAAATTGTTTCTGTCTTTTGGAATCTTTTCGCTAGGATCATTCTGAGGTCTTTCTCCAAAGCAGATTCTTCCAGCCTTGCCTGGAGGGCATATGCCGGCTCCCAGTGCTTTAGCAGCCCATTGGGAAAAGAAGGCTTGAGAAGTGGGATGGTCCTCAGTGTTCAGTACGTGATCTTCCATGTAATCCTAGGTCAGGGTTTCTTAACCATAAGTTTATTGACATTTAGGGCTAGAAAATTCTTCATTGTGAGGAGCTATCCTGTGCATCGCAGGATGTTGAGCAGCATCCCTGCCATCTACCCACTAGGTGCCAGTAGTACACACACACCCTCCAGTTATGACAACTCAGTATGTCTTCAAACATTACTACATGTTCCCTGTAAGGCAAAATTGCCCTCATTTGAGAATCACTGCTTTAAGTTCAGAGTTAATAGCAGATCTGAGCCCTTTTATTCATGGAAGATGATCTTGGGTTTTCCTTCCCTTGAATTCATTTACTAGAAACTTAATAAATATAGAATGTTTTCAAGCAATATTGTTTGTTGTAAATTGACCCCTGATTGGTGAGTACATATGAATCAGGAAGATGGTGAGTGAACTTTAGAAGCCGATGAAAAGTCACAGACCTTGGCTTCCTGGTGTGCAGTGTGTAACTCTTGTAAGTTAGCATGAACACATTTTTTGAGGGGCCATGGAACCTACACTCATTATTTGTTACTAGTGGCCCAGTGCACAAATTTGTGCACCTTGAAAGGAACTGTGGGCTGCAAGGCTGTGGTGGGCACAGGGATGGTTCTCAGTCCATCCTCGGCGTCCCCGCCCAGCCCCTCCGGCCTCAGCCCCCAGTCCCCTCTCTGCCAGCAGCCCCGCTCCCACCGCCGCTGCTCCCATGCAATGATGGCACCAGCCCCACTTGCACCCACTGACAGCGCGGAGTGATTGGGGCCGGCGCCAGCATCGGTGCGAGCCAGTGCCATCAGCAGGTGTGAGTGGCAGCTGCTGCCCTGATTGCCCCTCAGGAGCAGGGGGAGGTAGAGAAGCCCTCAGGGGCGATCAGGGCCAGCAGCGGGTGCGAGCAGTGGCTCTGGTGCCAGCAGCAGGTGCGAGCACCAGACGGGACCGCGGCATGTGGAAGCAAAGAATTTTCAGTAACCACCAGAGGTGAGCCGTGCCTTGGTCTGGCACCCCCGCTCACCTGCTCCACCATCCTGCCACAGCTGATGCCTGCCATGTTCTGTGCTCTGCGGCCTTCTGCATGTTCCGCACATGCCCCCTGGTGGTCAGCGCACGTCATAGCCGCCGGTTGTTCGGTCTTTGCGTCGTTCAGTCCATTTGCATATTAGGGTTTTATATCTATATATATAAAACCCTAATATGCAAATTGTCCCCTCGGAAGTTTGATCAGGAGATTGGGAGTTCAGTCGCTCACTGTGATGTGCGCTGACCACCAAGGGGTGGCGCAGAACAAAGGAGGCCTTAGCCAGCAGCTGGCAGCCGGGGAAGGGAGGCCCAGCCAGCAGCCAGAAGGCCCCAATCAGCCCTGATTACCGGCCAGGCCTAGAGACCCTATCTGTGCACGTATTTTGTGCATCGGACCTCTAGTATATAGATAATGTACTACTGGTTCCTGTGGAGCAGGAAGTTTTTCTAGCCAGGTGATTTCTGTACTTACCCCACATGATCTCTTTCTCTTAACAATGGTTGGTCCAAAAAAGACCCCTAGTGGGCTGTATAGATATCTTCTGAAGATAGGTACGTCTCATGCTAATGCGCTGTCTTTGTCTTCCTATAGAACTAAGTGAGCCTGGTGCCAAGCTCTGTTCATTATATTCCACATATGAGTGAGATCAGCAGTGAATATCAATCTGAACCAGAGATTGCTGCTGGTTGGTGACTAAAGGAGGGAATCTGAGAATTAACTGCATTCTTAAATGCTTTTAATCAATCCTCCTGCTTTTAGTTTCACCTTCACTTCTCTGCTTCTGGAGAATTTTAAGATTACATAATGTAAATTGGGGTGCTCCTCTGCTTTTCTCCAGCACTGGCTTAGCATTCAGCTTTTCTTAGGCCTGCTGAGTTGGTTACCACTCTGCCATATGCTTTCTAGCTTCCAAAATTTTGTCTTTTTTCTCTTTCTTTACTTTTGTTGAAATACTGTGCTTCCAGGCACTTCAGATATGTTATCTCATTTAAGCCTCCCAATATCCCTTTGGTAGGGGCATTATTCTAAAGAGATTAATTAACTGAGAAATCTGTATTTGAATTTCAAAACTAAACTTTTGCCTTTCAATTTTTATCAATATCTTAAAAATAAAGTGAAGCTGATTATTAAAAATGATTATTTCCAGAATGTTAAAGAATGTTTTAGCATAAAAATATTTTTCATGGATAAATGTAAAAATGAGTTCTAGAATAATTTCAATCAGTGTTTTTTTATTTTTTAAATTTATCTTTATTGTTGAAAGTATTACAGATGTCCCCTTTATCCCCCCCCCCCTCCCATTAACCCCGCCATTCTGCTCCCGCCCCCTCCCCAGGCCTTCACCACAATATTGTCTGTGTCCATGGGTTATGCATATAAATTCTTTGGTTAATCTTTCCCCACACCCAACCCTCTGAAATATGTCAGTCTGTTGCATGCTTCAATGTCTCGGGATCTATTTTGTTTGCCAGTTTATTTTATTAATTAGATTCCACAT